TTATCCTCGACGATCGCAGCGTTTTGTTATCAGCCGGTTAATGTTGTCAAGTTCTTCATGCACCGATGTGATCACAATAAGCGGCACCTACTTTATAAGAATGGCCTCAAAAGAGATGATTGCGGGTGGAGTTGATAATATTAGCCGAAAGAAAAATATTATGGTCAATATTGGATTTGGTTTTGGTTTTCGTGTTTTGACTACAATAAATGGCTAATAACATTAACCAACGATAACAATAAGCGGCACCCACTGTACCTAGCCAATGTTGCATCTGCGGTTTTTCTCCGTTCAACTAGAACGTGCCCTTCGAAGTCAGCGCCGGAAAACTTTTGCTGGATTTTGCAACGTCGTCTTTGAGGAATAGGAAATTGGAGCTCTGTGTTCCGTCAATGGATGAGAAATAGCGGCCAAAGGAGCCAAATAGAGCATTATTGTATTTTGATCTTACTGAATATCATACTTGGTACCATTTCACAATTGGTCATGTACTGGAGGAGCAACCTTCCGTACAAAGACAGAACTAAAACGCGTCACACACTAGGAAAAAAAAAAGGATTACGTTCAATGGGAACCAACATTTGTGTGCAGTGAGAGCATCGATATTTCCCGGTGGCTCCTCACTTTTTAAGCCGAGAAACGTGCTAACCACTCGAATACAAGGAACAGCATTTAGAGCCTTCAACAGGGTGAAAAAGCGAAGGGGGGGGGGGGGGTTAGGAAGAAAATGCCGTCTAGCGGAATGTAGGCTCTTGCGCCGACCTCATTTCAACTGTCAAAAAATGACAAAAGTTCTAGCACACGTTCGAGAAAACTCGGGAGAAGAAGCTGCGAGTTTGGACTTGAACTCTGCAACTAGTTTATTGGACAGCCACGACCTCCTTTACATATGAAGAAGCCGAATTCCTTCCTCATTACCGCATTTGCTGTTCGTATCAGATCACAAAGGAAGATCGTGAAGAAGGCTAACGAATTCGCTCGCCCGAACGCCTCGATGGAGGCAGGACAAAGGATGGTGTCGTGTCGTGAAGCGGCTAGGGAAAAGAATTCACATATTATATATAGACGGAACACCTCCCGGTTAATCCCCAGGCAGGACGTACATCACGATGTGGGGACAGTTTCGGAGCTAATTAGACCACGAGGAGTGAGGAGGGGAGGAGCGGAAATATAAAGCCACAGATGGCCTCTTCGATAGACTCGGGAGATTCGACTGCCCATTCCGCGGCAAACCGGCAGATGGCTTCCTTTCCTCATGACCCCCAGACGGAATTTACGAGACAATTGCAGGGACACTCCGGTGATTTATGAGAAGCCGACACGACACGCACAGGCAACCCTTTTATACGATTTAGGACAATGAGGTCGGCGTGATTGAATGAAGGGGGGAGAGAGAAGCAAATGCAAGTGTCCGCACATAAAATTATGGTCTCCATTCAAAGTCCATTAGAGAGTAGATCTCGTGCTGGGGACATGTCTCACCTGCAAAGTAAAGCGACGCCGAACACGATGACTAGAAGAACCACGGATGATATCACGATCAGAGTTATGGGCAATGGATCCCCTGCACTATGTGTATCCGCCTCAGCTCGATCCTGTTCAAAATAAAAAAATAACAATTCAATCCCCTGCTAGTTTGTTGGAAAGGAAGCTCTTTTAAGAAACAGTTGAAACGTTTCTGTCTTTAAAGAGTAAACTCCTTTTCAAGTGAAGGCAAACACGCCATTCTAAACCGGATTAGGTCCAGATGCTATTTATTAGATTAAGAAGGCAGGCACCGGAAAAATCGATGAGAGCGTAATCACAGTATAGAAAAACCGCACTGCTGGACAAAAAAAAATCCCGCCATTTTTTATTACATTCCTCTCGGGAACGAGACAGCTATTACGGACGTATTTTTTGCACCATGAATGAGCATTCGGACAACCCAGACTTCCTTTAACTACAGTACTTGGCAACGGAAGAATTTAAGCCGGGATGAATTTTAAAGAGAGAGAAAAAAAAAAGCCTAAAGCCTATCCACTTGCGAACCTCCTTTGAATGCATCGTCATAAATGCAACAGAAGACAGAGAAAGGAGGATATAAAGAAAGAAGGAGGTGAAAAAAGGAAGAGAGAATGCTTGAGGCGAAATGCTAGGGAATGGTTGGTGGCTGGGGCGAAGGACAACCATCCACTTCAAGGTACGCAGGAAAATTTCCGAATGTTACTATTATCTTTAAAATATATATGCCATCGCAAGAAATGTTCTCTAAACTGAACATGTCAAGTTCATTACATTTGTGACTCATTAAAATTTGGCATTTCGAACCAATGGTAGCCCCCAAAGCGTTGAAGGCTTCTCGTAGTCACACAGTCATATAAACAGCCAAGCGACTGCATAAGAATTCCAAGAGTCTCATTTATTTTTCAATAAAAAAGAAGAGAGCTAGAAAAAAAAAGAGGCAAATGACGGCTGAAGGAGTCCAGGATTCAGTGAAGATTGGCTGCATATGCACTCTATCCAACTTGGGCTGAAGAGACTGCTCCTCCACGTCACAAATGACACATCCAGGGAGCTTTCAACATATACTGCTGCCACTTTCGCGGAACGAAGAATATCCTGTTTCTGTATTTTTACTTAGCAAGCTTACAAAACACATTCCGCATGGAATTCTTCGGGTGCCGGAAGCAATCAGAGAAGCTCCTAAGTTTCCCTCGCACTCATAGTGCCAACAAATATTATACAGGAAATACTACTTTTCTAGAAATCCCACATAAGTAAAAAAATATTTTTTTACAATTTAAAATTAAAATTTGATTTTTTTTTCACCCTCCCCCCTTGCCTCTGAAGCAGGGAGTGTTCAATATTCCGATTTCGAAGCATATGTGCGAGTTCCGATGCCAAGATATCACTTCCACTAAGAAAGATTGTTTTGTTTTGATGAGAAATAGACCTATCACGCTTGGTTCACGAAACTGCTCAGGTTTTGGTAATGAGCCTCGCAAGGCCTCTAAACATAAGTATGAGCCTCTCCAACTGGAAAGGCTGAACATTCTCGTTCTAACGTATCTTAATACAAAAACCCTCAAGAGGAAGAGAGTGAAAGGAAAAAAAAAGATTAGGAAAGTAAAGTACCGGGGCGACGATTTCGTGACAGGATGAGTCACAAACAGTGGGGGATTCCTCGCTGAGCCACGGTGGAACAGGTGGAGGCGGGAGGTTGAATTCCGGTGGGGGTGGATCCAGGCAATCACACGGAACATCTTTACCTCCACCCCACACTTCCCCCAGTTTTGACGAAGATCCTTCGATCTAGAAAAACAAGACCAGCACATTTTCGGTTAACCTGAAAACTCCAGAGCTTTCATCCTAACTATTCAGACGGAACTAACGGACTACAACCTGGGTCATCATTTTTCATCACGGCTCTGGGACGCAGAGTCCATTAGAACGAGAAACGCTGGCCTTAACGACTTCGAATGGCATCTTCGCAAGGGAAAATTACTAGTATATGCAAGGTTCCAAGGGTCTTTAGCGGATTCCCTCGCGACGAGCGAGACGAAGTAGCCGTGACCACGACATCCTCTTTTTTTCAGGTAAGATTGCTTGCCGAGGTGGGAGGAAGGAAGGAGTCATATAGTTCCATTGGACAAGGCCAAAACAGGGAACAAGGGAGAAAAAAAAAAACTCGGAAAAAAAAGAAAAAAGCGGAAGCAATGAAATACCCCATAGAGTCACTTTTATAAAGGCTGTAAACAGGTCGACTCGAGAAGCCTAGGTCTCACATGGCTTTCCTCCCCTCCTTCCTTCCAAGATTGCTTTGCTTCGCTCCCCCCCCCGAGCAACTCAATCGCCCTTCCAGGCTGGAGGAGCACCCTAACTATCGCCTACCATCTTCCTCGGGAACAGGATAAGTCTCTCAAGGGAAGAAGTCGTACATAAAGGCGATAAGAGGGGGGAAGGGACATTCACACGTCGTGCAGAGGCGGCGACGAGGGACCTTCCAGGACGGATCTTCTCCGATAGGCGGCTCTTTATAGGGTAATCTCGATGCGATGGAAGGGGGTTTCTGCTGTTTCGGTAAAGAGGAAATCGCGATAACGCAGCTGCGCGCCGGACGAGGCCACCCAAGTGGTCCTAAAAAATGAGATATTTGCATGAATCTGCATAACTTTCATCTCTTTTTCACGGACATTAGAGGGAAACCACGAGGAGTTCATTCGAGAAGTGAAGTCACAATCGAAAGTCGAGAGAATAGCGAGACGGCAAAGATGGAAGCCCCGTTTTTTTTTTTTAAAGCACGATTTCGTCGTCACGCGCCGAGATGGGGTTTTCTGCTCGAAGCAATGAGGCTGCTTCTGATAACGTCACACACTCGTCCCTTCCCACGTCTAATCTCGTTCTCCCCCTCACCCGGGTATGAAGATATCACTCTTTTACACCCAAGATATGCGTATACGAGTTCTGACGTGTTCCCTTCAGGCATACCTTCATGCAAGCGCATGATAGACAGCTATAGATTCGCACGCAGCCCTCTTCCCCTCTCGGCCGTCACGACGGCCCAACATAACATAAACAGAGATGTGGTTAAATGAGAATGAGCAGACGTGGGGGAAGTGGAAACGAGCAATACGGACTCGTATGACAGAATTCGTCGCGCCATTTCAGGGAAAACAATCGTCGTGACAGACTCGTCTCCCCATCGGTCTCGCAGCGAGGGAAGGTCACGCAAGGAGACAAAAGAAGGCGCTGTTTCACGCTGAATTTCAATAATGAGCGCTAATGACGCAAATGACATACGAGGGAAAGGGCGGATGAAAAAAAGGAGCACAAGAGCCTCCTCTTTTCTCCCTCTCCATACACGTGGAAAAATTCATAATTACAAAGGGGGGAAAGTATAAGGAAAAAAGGAGGGTTGTGCATGAAAAATGAGGTGAGTGTTGGGAGCAGATGCATGACCCAAGCTGCCGTATTGCCGAAATCCACTGGCAAGGTTTCAAGCGCCTCCCGCGGCAATTCATCAGTGTCCGGGAAGAAAGCGCACGGGAGTGACTGCCTGCGTTTAACTTATGACTTGTCATCACCGCGTCTATGAGCCAAGAACCGAAGACTTATTTTTCCACGCATGCAGGCGAAGAATAATAGAACCAGGGGGAGGAAAAGGAAGAGGAAAAGCAACAGGCTTCGCATGGAAGCAGCTTTCCTCACGACGTAAATCATAACGGGGAGACCCATTCTCGGTTACTTGCAATTGAGGGGCGAGCAGCCCTACAACTACGTGATCATAATAATCACGGCTTAATAATATGAAAATTCAGACCGAGTTGGAAAAGAGGGCATGAGAAACGGGGCACAGGTGATCGCTATGGGAAGAGGATGCAGAGACTTTTTATTTTGGAAGCTCGAGAAACGACGGCGTCAAATCCGGCTCCCTTAAAATACAATGATTATTGTACGGGCAGACCACCACGAAGCCTTCGGATCGCGTGAGCCGTGATGAAGTGCATGCAACCTCGGTTTGATTGGGCTCGATCACGTCCGTCTGACACCTGTCCGTGACAGTTCTCATGATGATTACCCGAGAGATTCACGGTTTATTGTCATTGAGATCCATCTCAATCGGCTTCACCCTTCCCTGACCTTTTCCCTCTCCCACCTACGGTCTTTTGTCCCTTTCTCCCCTCTCCATCATGAAGACGAGAAAACAACATCCATCTTCCCCATTGTCTTCATCTACTATTCGCCCTCTCTGGAAGAGGTCAACAAGATGAAATTATCTGGAGCCATACTTTCGCTCCGTTCCCTCCAAGTCACAACGAAAATCAGGCAAGAGCTTAACTTCACCGACCGAATGAATGAATTCCCGAACGTCTTCCGACCACGAAGCAAAGCTGCGACGCGGTGAGCCTGGATCGAAATTTTCTGTACTTTCAAAATAATAAAAATTCACGCACTAGGACGCAATTTCACGCCGAAGAAAGTATGAGGTGCTTTCTGAATTAATGAGAAATGATCGTGATCTCGTATCGAAGTAACTGGAAACGTGCAGATCAAAGGATGGGATTCCCACTCGTCTGAAAGTTTCAGGTTAAACTAAGCTCTGTTGAAAGATGAAAGATTTCGCGAAAGTGACCATAAAAACCCCATGCCATCGACTTTCTCCCCTCTCTGCTTTATGGACTGGCCACTGGTTCAAAAGGCTGCGTAAGTGGGAAACACGGCACGGAGTGGGATAACTATGCATCTGAGTAGGCGTTACGTTATATGGCAGTAATACAGGATAATAAAACATTTACACTTCGCGAAGAGGGAAATAATTTCGTCTGACCTGCTCTATTCGTCCTCATAGGTTTTACGAATTTTCTAGCAGAGGAAATTTGTCTCATTTTTTAGAGCACTGACCGAATACGCGACTTACTCGGATTCAAGTTTTGGCGAGTTCTGCTGGCCTGGGGCTTCCATCTATTAGTATGGGGAGTATTTACATCGTAGTGTTTTTCGTTTGAGCTTCAACACGCCCAAGGCAGGGTGAGTTTTCTTTCGATCATCACGCATGAATTTCGTAGTCAAATGAAAATCTGTCCAAGTCATCAGAAAAACACTCGCGTATGGAAAACACGTACGGCGAGGTCTCAGTTGCAACAGTGGTTTCAACACTAGGCCTACAGCCCACTTCACTCTAGATCATCAAAATTTAAATGTTTATTCGGCAGGGTCTCGTGAGAGAGATGTCAGTTGAAACCGGCCTCGGGGTGTCGTATGACCTGACATTTGGTCCGACTGGAGGAAATTTCAACGCGAGAATTTTTGCAGTGGTTTCGCCTTAGCACGACCGAAGAGGCGAGGGGAAACTTACTACCATCGATGAGTCGAGGGAAGACTTCCACGAGACGGGGCAGAAGACACCGATCCCGAACACATGCCACGTCACGGTACCACCATCACGGAGGGCAACTCTGTTGCCGATCGAGCCGAACGCGGCAACTTCACGCCCACGTCGTCGCGTGAGAAGGCGACATTTTCCAGACGAGATTTCGCGGCGATCGTTTTGCTGGCGACGAGGGAGTCTGCGGAGGACGAGCCCGCGGATCGAACACGCGCAGAGACACGCGCTGCGTGAGGCCGCCGGAGCCTGACTGCGAGCAACAAGTGGGGAGACGGAGGTTTTTTTCGAGGCAGCGCCGCACTCACGGTCGCGAGGAGGCGAGGAGGCGAGGAGGCGAGGAGGCGAGGAGGCGAGGACACGAAGGGAAGAAAGAATGGAGCCTGTGTCATGCGCCTTCTCTCTCTCTCACTCTCTCTCTCTCTCTCTCACTCTCTCTCTCTCTTTCTTGCAGGACATGCCGGCGCTATTATGTCGTGGCCATCAAAACAAAAATAAAGCGACTCCGGTGCCGCGTCCAGACGCTGCGCAAAACGGTGGGAAAAAAAGTGAAATCCGAGAGTCGCGAGTGAATGAAGTTGCGACAGCCTTTTTCATTTTCTCCTCGATCGATGGAAAGCGTTCATCCGGCGCTCGCGAATTCCACAAATCGAGGATTTTTTCAGTTTATTCGTTTTTCGGTCGATTTTCGCTGGACGATGCAGAAGCGACGAGAATGGCTTAGGGACGAGATAAAAACCGCAGAGGTGATTTTTTTTTTTGCGAACCAGTGGCTCGGGATCGGCACGTCGTGCATCAAACGAAATGGCGCTTTTACTGCTTGACCACAGGGGAAGGGGATCTCTCTCTCTGTCTCTCTCTCTCTCTCTCTCTTTTTTGCCGGGGGAAAATCCGCATTAACCCATATCCCGAGAAAGTCGTAAAGCTGCAGAAGACGCCGGCATTCATCACGGCAGACGAGAAATCGAGAACGCGGCCGGATTCGGAGCGCGATTCCGCCGTTCCGCGGGAAAAAAGATGCGATAACGCGTTTCACGCCGCGATCGCGAATCACGGCTTCGGAACGGAACCGTGACGGTGGAGACCGGATGGGATCCGGCGTCTCCATGAACAAAAGGCGATGCCGCCCTTTCTGGCATCCTTGGATCCGCTGGATATCCAGACGATCCGCCCGGACGACGACGGCACGAAATCGTCCTCGCCGTGTGTGGGCAAAAATAATATCAGAGGGGAACGAGAGAAATCTTAATGGTGGAGACGGACGGACGGAAGAGACGAAAAATCTCGGAAGAAACGCTGGGAGGGGAAATGGAGATGTTGCGTGCATCCCGACGTCCCGACATCCAGACCTCCCCGCGTCCACGGTCCCCGCGTAATCACAGTCGCGAGAGTCCATTTCCCTCATTTTCCTCCAATTTTGTCCTTCCCGTGGCTTTATGCTAATTGGGTCCACCGTGACGCCGTTACCCCCACGTAATCGCCTGGGTTTTCGGGTGTGTCTCCGAAGAGCAGGAAGGCAGGTCCATTGCAGGTCCATTGCGGGTCCATTGCAGGTCCATTGCAGGTCCATTACAGGTCCATTGCGTTTTCCCCTGCCGAACCTTTGTCTCTTTTTTCGGAGGATATTTGTCATGATTTGAGGCGACTTTCTCCATCGCCTTTCCGGTCATCGCCACATTTCTCTCCTCTATTGTTTTCTTCTTTTTTTTTTTTTCCTCGACCCCCTTCTCGATGCTCAGAGACCGCCTCTACCGATCGACGCCCAGAATTATTGTATCCCGGAGGGGAATTCCCGCGTCCCACGGGGGGGAGGGGAGGGGGAGAGGGGGGGGGGGAGAGGGGGAAACGCCCCGGCCCATTTGGCTTCGATGTTGTCGCCCGAGATCACGTCACGATATCTGCCAACACCGGCGATGTTTTCGCTCCGTAGGGAAAACGCCCAAGGTCCAAATCCTGCCTTCGAAATTCTGCCTTGGAAATCTTTATCGTAGGGAGCTCCCGTTCCCATGCGGGGTGAGAACGCTTTCGAGACAAATCTGAGAAAAACCGCCAGGCACAAAAGATTAATAATTCGGGCACTTCCGCAAGTGCGTGCGTGCGTGCGTGCCTGCGTGAGTCTGGCTCTGTTGATTATTATGCGAAGGGGAAAAGGAGAGAGAGAGAGAGAGAGAGAGAGGCAATTTCGGTTAATGAAGTGATGCGAAATGCCGTGGAGACCACATGCTGATAGCCAATAACTGACCCTTCCCATCATCCCGGCCGGCCCCG